ATAATGAAACAGAGTGTGCTCCTGGATGCTCTCCACCAGCACTGCAGGCTTCAGTCGCCACCCAGCTGCCCCCATGTTATAAACACATATTATAGTGTTGGCTTAAACTTAAACATTTTCATAAAGGGTATTTTTCATATTATAGCAAAATTATACAAAAGCTGCAAAGAAAGTCACCAAAAAACCCTGAACAAGGCCCTGGCGACAGTAGTCCTTAAAGATAAGAAGCAGCTCAGAACTAAAAAAAAGATACATATGTTCATAAAGGAATCACAATGCTCAGCACCTTCGAGGTGGGGAAGCCATCGCCCCAGGACTATCACCTGCCAGGCCAGCACAGACCCTGACAGCAAAAGAGTAAAAGTAAAAAAAACAAAAGCTTTAAAATGTGTAGTAAAAAGTCTCTAGTCAACAGTGCTCGTGAAACATCCAAAAGAACCTAGCTGATGGCACCCCCCAACCTTCAGACAACCATATCTGCAGAGGGCAGGCCAGGGGTGTTGTGACCCARTAGGAGCCCCTGCTACAGACACTTCTCCATCAACATGGACCATTTGCTGAAACTACAGAAAAAGAGTCACACGAACACTACCCCAAAAGCATAAACATCATCACTGCTCATGCTCTAAACAAGCAAATCCATGTTAAACAATTCCTGAAAAAGTTTAAATATACATGTCTATGAATAAGCATTAAGCTGATGCAATAAAAGAGATATTTAAAAATGTCTCCTGTCAATAACAAGTGTGCCTCTGGCAGATCACCAAGCACCCAGCTTTTATCCTTTTGTTTTTATGTACCCTATTGTMATTTATTAAAACCCTTTACATTTTAACAAGAKAGTGAACCTCGTTTTTCAGACCCYASTCTTCTCTTGCTCTTTTACCATCCTGACKATGGGTACATTTTTCTTTCACTGGGGTAAAGCAGTTCTTCTAGTTGTTATTGTTGGCTTGACTCAGTGGCAGAGTCCGTTCAAGAAACCTTTCCAGAGTGGTTTGTGGACCAGCTCTCAGGAGGAATCATGCTGCAAAGAAAACTGTCAAAAATGCATGATATGTATGTGCTATTTTTATCAGCCCTCCACCCAGTTACTACCTCACTGTTACGTATTTAAAGTGTGGCAAATTTACAGTGCTACAGTGCTCTCAGGTTTGTTTTTTTTTCCTTAATTCATTAGATTAACAAAGCCTGAAGTAGCTCAGACCGCAGACTGCTCAGCATTACTACTGGAGTTCTAACCCCTAGGGCTTTATAAACACCACCGAACCTGGTGCTGGCCCCAAACATTCTACACACTGATATTACCCAAGTGTATTTCTTATGCATCAAAAGGATAGCAGTGACACTGCATTTCTTTGAACAGATAACCCACCAAGGCACTGCACGGAACTCACGAGAAGAACAGCTGTTTATTGCACGCTGAAGAACAGAGCATGATACCGGAAACAAATTAGGTGCAGAAAAGCACATCACGCGAACGACACTTCCAAATATCTTTCGCCACCGAGGGGCTACAGCAGGAACCCTGCGGACGGGAGACCACGGGCACTCCGGCAGGTCCGTGAGRGCAGCGGGGGCGGGACAGGGACAGGGACGAGCGGGACACGCTTCCCCCCGCCCATCGCGCCGGGATCACGCCTGCGCTCCGGGAAGGCGCCGGGATCGCTTCCGGAGCGCGACCTTGGCGGGCGGTGAGTGCGGGGCCGTGCGGGGCTCTCCCTCCGGAGCGGCACCGCCCTCCCCCGGAGCCTCGGGGCCGCGGATGGCGGCGGCCAGGGCGGGCAGCGCTCGGACAGCGGCCCTGTCTTGTGTTCAGGGCGGCGGGCAGGATGGCGGCGCCCACGATGGAGGAGAGGAAGGCGTGCTGGGGAGCCCGGGACGAGTTCTGGCAGTGCCTGGACAGCCACGGCGATGACGCCGCCAAGTGCGAGAAGCTGCGCCGCGCCTTCGAGTCGCGCTGCCCGCAGCAGTGGGTGAGCTCCGGCCGCGCATCCCGGGATACGGCCCCTGGSTGGGGATGGCAGCTCCCGCTTCCAGCCCTGCAGAGCCTGGGGATTGCCGTGGAGAGCCCTGCAGCCTTGCCGGGACAGCTTGGTTTGCACACTTTGGCTTRCTGGGAAAGGAGCGCACCGGTGACGGGCCCGGGAGCTGGGAAAGGCGGTGTTAAGGGTATAGTACAGAGGGAAAGGGAAATTGGCCTCAAATTTCCAGATAAACACACAGGATTATTATTTGATTTTTTTTTTTTAAGTTTTTGAAGATACTTGAAAGCTTTAAGAAGCACTCAGTACTTTGTGTAACTAAAAAACGCCCAGAAGGGAGCTGCGACTCAGGTCTTGCAGTTGTACGGTATTTTAAGGCTGGCATCTGCTACCTTAAAAAATACTTCTTTTTCATGCAGCATAATTTCACAGTAAGCCACGTGCCTGCATGTACCCCATTCATGTTGTGGTTTTTTTTAGTTTCCTGAGCTCAAGCTATAATTCTTAATTTTTTTAATAGGCACTGCCCTTTAGTAACAGTGGTTTGTGAGGGGCTGAACAGTTCCTGTTGCAGGGAGGCTGAAGTCAGTTGAAAAGCCCAAGTACCTTCTCAGCTGCTGCACTGATACTTTGAACAGTGCAGTTCTGTATATCAGCGCTGGCAATGATGGTCTCATCTGCAGAGCTCTGCACCACACACGTCAGTGGCTCTAGACACTGAATTTGGAGGTTACATAGGCTGTGATACCATAGAAAGGCTACTAGGCTTATCTTGGCATCATAAATAACTGTTGTTCATAGTAAAAGAGAAAGTTAAAAGATCTTCATGAAGTAACAGGGTGACAAACCTAAAGAAACTGAAGTTCACTTTCAAAATGGTTAAAAAAATGCAGAACTAAACATGCCACTTTTTAGTCTTCTACTTCGACTTAAAATAACTCCTAACTAGTGTACTAACATCTTCCTTAAGCTCAGTGATCAGACTGTTAACACAAAGCCCCTTCCTCTGTTAGTTTTTTTCTAATGAGCATATTTTCTCTTTTTAAACAGGTTAAACACTTTGACAAAAGAAGAGACTTCTTAAAATATAAAAAAAAGCTTGAAACAGAAGGGTATCGTCCTCCAGAAGCTGCTGGAAAGTCTTAAGAACTCTGCTTTCAAAATTAATAGTAACTACAGGAGGAGGAAGCGATTGGAAGCAACAGAAGCTGCTTGAGTGCAAGAACTGCTCACATGGCTGTCTCCCTGAAATACAGACTGCTCTTCTTGGTGCCAGGTCTCATGTGTGATGAAAAAATGTGATCGTGGACAGCTTTTTTATAAGTCAAAGAAATATGGTGCAGCGTTGTTCACAAATCTAAGGGTTTGAATGTATAATTAGTAAAATTATTTCACAGGAACAAATTATTATTTAATACTCCAATGTACATATTCTAAAGAGAAATGAAATTGTTTTTCAGTAAATGAACCAGCTTTTTCCTAAAATAAAAAAGTCCATTCCAACTTGCCTTTTTTGTCAAAAGCAGTGGGTTGTATAATACAATTTRTATTTGTCACTTACCACGTATTTCTAAGTATTTTAAATATAGTTTAAGTCAGACATCAGTTTACAGAACAGTGGTTACTAGAAAACCTAAAGCACCCGCTGCATGTGATGTGTAATTTATCTGTTAGAAAATGAGTATGCTTATTTTTTATAAGCAACAGGAATTTTTACACTGGTGGTAAATTTTCAGTCAATATTTCTGCTAGAAGTATGACAGTTGTTGATCATCATTTTCACATGGCCTTTGCTGTGATTTATTGCCTTACTGATGCAGCTTCATTTAAAGGTACAGACTGTTGCAGCAGGATTAGTAAACTTTACTGTAGAAGTCCCTTGAACAAAGGGTAGCATTTCAGGTAATTATGTAAGAGAAGTTGCCTTAAAAAATTATAATCTAGTATATCTAGATGCTGGAATCATTCAATATTTTGGCTAAAGACACAACTTCAATTTCAAGCACAGTTACCACAACTGAAGTAACTGCAATAAAAATCCTGTGTTTTGAGTTTGGATTTGTCACAGTATTGYGCTGATGTTCAAATAGCAGAAAAAACACACGCAGGCCACATGCAATATAAATAGTATTTATTTCCAATGCAACAATTTGAGGAGGTAAAGTATTAAGGCATTTCAAAGTCACACTACAGAGAATAGAACATGCAAAAGTTAAGAATCCTCATTTGCCCTGAGTTTTGTATCTCATCTGTTCAGAATTTCAGGCTGTAGCACCGTAGGAAGCCATCCAGTGTGCAGTAAAGGCACGAGACTCTGGGCAGTTATTGGTGTTTTTGCTTGATCACTTGCTGCCTTGTGTACTCCCAGATCAACAGAGCTCCGCTCACGTGAACATTGAGTGACCGAATAATGCCCTGCTGAGGAATCTCCACACAGACATCCAGGTGGTGAATCAGGTTGGCTGGGATTCCTTCATGTTCATTTCTAGTAAAGAAAATACAGTAACTTGTACCTGAGAGAGGGCATGTGTGTTCCAGAAGGCAAAACAAATGTCACAACAGCATCCAAACACCTTTCAATGCTTACGAGGTAGCTGATGACAAGAAATKAWTTWTTTTTTTTAAATAATACATTACAGATACAAAGAAAACATGGGGAGACCTGACTTAAATTTTGATGTAGAAAACCTGGTAGAAGACACAGTTTTCAGTTCATTGGTCCAGCAATAGCTGAGCACCAAACATAAAGACTCTTCTGCTTTTGTTTTTAAATTCTATATATAGTGAAATGGTATGAAGCTGCTGGCACAGCAGGAAAGCTCAGCTGCCCACTTTATGTTCAGRTCTTTGCATGAAGGAATGTCAAAACTGAGCACACCAGAAGATACTCAAGTTTACTGGTAATTAAAACTATTGCTTGTAATTGAAAGGGAACAAAGTGATTATGAGAACTCCATTCTGAAGACAAGCTACATATAAAAAAATCGGGAAAAAACGGTATTTCTCCTCATTTTGTCCTAAAGGATAGCCAGGCCCTGGTCTCACTCAGTAGCCCTGCAGCGCCAGGAGCTTTCTGACTTGCACATGSTTTACTGTAGATTTCTGTAAGTAGCCTCCCCTTTTCTGTCACATTTGAGGCTTATCTGCTTATAGAAACTGATTGCTGCTTCCTTTGAAGTTGTCCCACGCTCTGCAAAAACTTGCTACTTCATCTTGTGCCTCCCCTTAACTTAAATTATCTCCCAGCTGTGCAGTCAGCCTGCTCCAGCCCTCCTCACCAAGCTCACCAGGGCAGACAGGCAATCTCCTCCTCGCTGAGCCCACCACAGCCCACACACACAGGGCCCTGTATAAATTGGTCATATCTCCAGCACTCCCAGAAAAACAACCCCTGCTGTTGCTCTCTTCACCCATTACTGAAAGGAGCTACAATGTRTGGATAGRTKATCCAGTATGAGAAGGGTCATTCTRTAGGTATCAATRCCYCCYSGTCCTTGGCACACAAAGCCAAGCTCTGCTCTTTCCAAAAGAATTTCCCACTCAAACCACTCTTACCAGTGTCACTTGGTTTTCAGAGACCCAAACTGTGACTAGAGGAAGGGATGGGCTGCAAGAGTTAGATTTACAAAAATGTGTGTGTTCTTACCCCAGCAATAATAGTGATTTCTCTGGGAAGCAATATTCTGTAAGATCAAAACTTTTAGCTGTCTGCTCTACACCAATAATAGTGTAGCCTTCTGTTTTTTTCTGCTGCAGATAATCAACAAGCTGAGATGGTTTCACCTGTCCATTAAAAGTAGAAAGAAATATAAAAATACTTAAATACCACCTTTTGTAAACTTCTGAAGTTAGTGTAAAAAAAAAACAATTTAGCTTGTACACTTTTTAAGATGAATGACTTTTATCTGCAAAGACTCYGTCCATATACATAGCTGAACATTTTAAAAGCTCTTCAGCAGTAGCACARAAAGTTAAGTAATGCCACAAAATACCCCCACCAGTACAATGAAAAAGGCTCTTCTAGGCTTTTGACAGCTACGAGCCTTATGTCTGAATGTAAAAGAATCACTCTTGCAGAGGGACAGGGTGCACAGATGTTTAACATGTAATTCCTTCCCAACACAATAGARCAGGCAGCATTGGAACTGCACTGCCAACTTGGGATAGCTTGAAGAATTTCTTAGTTCTCTGCATCCCACTCTCTAGAAACTGCTAATTTGTGTTAAAATGCCAATTTTGTGCAACAGCAGCTCTGCCATCAGTACACTTCTGTACAGATTAGGCACGTGTGTCCATCAGCATTCTGTTTTAGGCAAAACACACTACAGCCCTCTTGCTCTGAAAATAGGCTGAAAAGAACACCATGGAGTTTGCACTGAATGAAAAATTTGCACTGAATGTTTCAAATKACTTAGAGCTGATCTTGAAAAACTGATTGTTATAAAATGTCACCAAAATATTTTCTACCAAACACTACACATACAGGTTGATACCCTCATTTATGTAAGAGATAATAGGTTCTAAAAGCTTGGCACAAGTAAACTCCAGGCAAACTCTAAGATTATCCCTATGAAACTTAGCAAAAGCAGTGGACCAATCAAGATAAATGAGGTGTTGTTCAATTTTTATAAAYGTTAAATTCCAACGCACCATTATAAAACACAGACTAAGATGTAACAACAACAGCTGACATAAACTKATTATCACAGAAATAAGAAATTGTAAGTACTTTCTAAATTATTTTCTATAAGGCTGACCCAAAATATACCAGATTAAGTGTCAGAGACAACAGCAGGAGCTTCCATTACACAAAAAGATAATATTTTCAAGATAAAAAATTAAGACTCTGAAYTATGCATCTGGCAAACTGAAAATACCCACTACACTTTTCAGCTTATTAAAACTGTTTCCATTCACCTCAACAAGGGGGAGCCACTGCTCTGCAGAAACACTCAGATGCTGAAACTGCTTATCCTGTATATAATGAAGACTGCCAACAACCAGTGCAGATGCTCCAAATATTTCACTTGTACGACATAAACCTACAAGGACAAGAATTAAAGTGATTTTTATGTAGAAAATAAACAYCAAGGCAGTACATCAAGGGAAAATGACAATGCAAAAGAGAAATGGCTACTTAGGTCATTTATTTTTAATTAGTTTCAGGTCTGTTCCTTCAAGCCCCACCTTGTTCCATATAAATTACGGAGGAAAAATGGTTCTAGAATTTAGAAAGAAATTAGAAAAGCACTGTCTCTGACAACATGCTTTTACAATACTAATTACACAAAGTAGGGGGTTAAGTGTCCAAGCCTTGGCAAGGATGGATGGTTAGACACATCCACACAAGCTTAAGCTTTAAATCCAGAACCTGCTAAATGAAAGGCTTGAGAAGATGACACATAACTGCATTATACTGCAAACAGCACCAGCTTGCGGACTTTTCATTACTCACTGCAGTTATTTAAACTGCTAACAACATCAAACACAATGGCAATAAAGTATTTGCAGGATTTATTATGTCACAGCTGACACATTGTGAAGGCAGTCTTAATCAGGAAATGGGACTCTGCTGTCCAACAGACAGGAGAATCTAGATAGTTTACAATATTTGGTTTAATCATTACAGTAAAAAAGTAAAAAACAAATTGTTTCCTCTAACTCCATACACAGCTTAAAAACTCAGCTATAGCAAATATAAAATCAGCAAGAAACTGAGCATGATTTACAGCAAGGTTCTRTTTAATTAATGCATGCTAAGTGTACCTTTTTTTTTTCCTTARAATGTAACTATAGAAGACCCTTTTCCCTGAGGCAGGTAGTATTTTCTTTGGCTGCTGGTATTTTCAGGATAATTATCTAGGTTTTCTAAGTGGTAAATAATTTTCTAATTATAAACATAAAATGAAATTAACTTCTATTATCTAAGTGTGCTCCAAGGTCTAAAATAAAAGTTTGAAAATGTGCAATCAACCTTACCTCCTAAATTGGTAGGTTTATCAATAAGTGAAGCCACCACAATCAGTCTGCTGTTTGATTTGCCAAGTTTCACAGCACGATCCTGAAATGCCATTTCCAAGTCTAAACTAGGAGTACTGTTTTTCCAAGGTATAATTTTTTTCTGAACATCAGTCCATTCTGTCTGGCTGTCTRCTTCAGCTGAATGTGAACCTGTAACAACAGGTTGTATATTCATATAGATGTGCAAGTGAAACGAGTGAAACCAGTGTTTCAGTAAAGAAGATAATCTAAATGGTAATACTGGRGATACCATTAGTCATCTGCTATTATTTTATGGTCTGTATTCTGCTCACATAGCAGAATACAGAATTCTGTGAGCAGAAGCTCACAAGTTTACTTCAGCTGAAAACCAGAGATCAGATTGAATGCAGATGTACACAGCTACTCCATACAATTAATTACAATACAGATTAGCTGTATTTTACCCATGTCCTGCTGAGACCAGTCACTTGGTTTCAGATCACAAAGTTCTGTTTGGGAACGATACCACTGAAATGCTGGTGGCAAAGGAATGTCAGTGAATCTGTCAAATTTAGAGAGGGAGATCCAYTCATCTTCAGCAAGTTCCGAAAGGCGAGGCAGAGTGTAAAATATCGTCTGCAATGCAACAAACACAGCGTTAGCAGCAGAGCACCACTAAAGCAAGCAAAAACACGTATTTCATCTCTGGKAGCTTCAAGGAACATGCCTATTATCTGGCCTCCTATGCTTTTAATTCTTGTTTTTCTTGGTACGTGATATAACTTACCAATATGTCTCTCAATATTCGTAGGTTATATTGCTGTCCAAAACTTACATAAATCTAGTCTCATTCTCTAATTAAAACTTTTCCTGAGGTCTGCATTGATTACTGTTCTGAAATTCTAGAATACCAAAGAATTAACACTGTGCTYCTCAACACAAAGGTCTAGTGAAAATCTCATATGTGTAACACTAAAAGGTTTTCAAATACTCTTATACATTTCTAGTAAAGGATGCAGATTGATTTAACATCAAAGAAATATAGCCAAAAGCATTAAACTCTAGTGGTAAAATCCAACTGAGCACAACCAATACAGCTAGCTAGCCATGATTTATCAAGGAGGAAAAAACACACATCCCAAGGGCATGACTGAGTAAATCAAAAAGTTTAAAACACAGACTTTTTGTTTATCCCAATGCACCCATCAAGACAAAAGTGAAGATGCACCCTGAACACATTTAAATGCTTGACAAATACTAGTCTTGCTTTGCGTTTTTTTTTTCTCTTGTTCTTTTAATTTTCAACTATTTGGCATATTTCTGTTCACAAAAATCCGAGAAGATCAGCTAGAAAAAATTCCTTCTCTCAAAGATGACACTGTTTCTGCCAAAACATATACCCCATTCACATCCATGTTTATCTTGTAGTCTGAGCTTAGTTCTTCTGTCTCTCATATTTACCTGCACCCTTATTTTTGCCTTCCTTCCTCAGTGTTTATTCAGCTGTCAGTTATTTGAGCTATAGCATACAGGATGGCTGGAAAAGGTGCTCTGGAAGCGATACATCTGTATTCCATTCGCATCAAACAATCTAGTTAAACCACCTCAAGTGACTTGTGAGAACAAATGTCTTAAAAATCCTAATAAACCACCTCGATTGACTAGATGCCCTTCAGTTACTAGAATGAACTTTTCCAGTCACAAATATAAAACCTGATAAACAGGCACACTCAAAACATCACACATACTTCTTCTTAACTAACCTAGGTTTTTAACACAATTTTAAGTAGAAAAAGCTACAATCTTAGTCTAAAATCCATCACAATTTACACAAAGTAATTTTTTTGAGTTTTAAATGCATAATAGTTGATAATTTTATCCACATTAGAAGATACCAAGAAAGATAAAAATACAGTTGTGAAACTAGACAAATAGTGTGTCTCGGACTTGCCTCTAGACTATAATCCTCAACTGGATGAAATGTTGCAAAGAAGAAGTGATCTTGGATTCGTTGCCAGTTCCTTCTGGCATTCCTGCAAGTGCAGAAAGTAATGTAAAATACATTATAAAGGTAATGTGCTGCTTTTTTCTTTTTAATTTCAGTTGTCAGATAGGAATAAGACACTGTATAGGAACAAAAATACTTCAACAATTAAGTAAGGACCCATTTTTAGAAAACCAACAGCATTCAGGAAATAAGTTTTATTTATATTTCAAGAAAGGCCCACAACACACCTCCAAATTCTATTATCAGAAGGGGTGAGTTTGGCAAGAAGTATGTAGATCTCCATGTAGATCTCCAAAGGAAACTAGATACTAGCCTATGGTTCAGTGTCAGCTTTTAGCTGTCAAAAAAACAAAGGTCAAGCCCCTCTCTTTGCTGTTTTTTCTGYCTTGTGTCTCCCCCCATCAACTTCTTTTTAAACAGAGATAAAAAGTCCCCATAAAACCCCACAGAAATTATCAAGTGCCATTTCAGAAAATTTAACTTGCTCCAAATGGCTCAGAAGAASAATGTTGAGGTGTAAAAAAATTTTACTAACCCTGTGCCATGCATGTTTTCCACTTGTTGAAGGCTAGATTCAATAACTGGTGTCAGAGCTTCAAATTCTTCCACATGCAGCATTCTGCACATAGCCCAGATTTTTTTAAGGGCAACTAATGCATAAAGTCGAACACTGAAATTATGGCTAAAACACCACTGCAGAACAACGATGAGGGCTTTCTTCAAAGCTGGCTTCTAAAAAAAAATCAAAGAAACTTATTTTATGTAAAGTTTTAATGTACCTTCAGAAGTTATGAGCGGCCCAAGAAAAAGTTCCTCAAAAGACAGCCTCTGGTAAAGTACAAAGCTTTAACATGATGTTAATTGCCTTCTTTCCACCTCATTAGGACAAAACCCAYAGCCCCCCCTTGTTTCTTGAAAATTATTTCATTTGCTATAAAAATAATCATTCTGGTTACAAGGGAATCTACTTACTTCTGATTAAAAGAGCAGCAAGAAAAACAAACCCAGGTGCATCCAAATGTTTAGTTAAAGGTGGAGTAGCTATTCTAGAAAATTCCACAGGTAATCAGGCTCTATGTACCCATAACACCTGCTACTTCAGCTAATTTTCATGAGGCCAATATTTCACAGAGGCTACAGGAAGTTACTGTTTTGCATAACAAAGGATACCTTAGTAGGAAGTAGGTATTAAAGAGATCTTTAAACCATTTTGGCTTTTCTCAATTCAGAACTCTGTATGTGCACTGGAAGTAAACAGAGAATGAACACTCTTAGAGAAATGTACCTTCTCTGAGGTATTCTGAAGAATGATGTCAAAGTGGGCCAACACTGATAAAAATGTGCAGATGCTTGTTTTAAGCTTTTCTTCATCCTAAAGTAAAAAAGAATGTAACAAAAGATATGTAAATAAAAAATGGCTTTATACCTTATACATTTTCACACCATGTTCTCCACACGCAATAATATTAACACTATTAAAATTCTACTTGGTTCCACAGCCAAATTTACTAAAGTACAAGGTTGATATTATTAGGATTTCATTTTTTCTAAYGTGTTATTTGCTTTTTACTAACACATAGATCAGAATGAAGTATATAATGGTACAAATGAGCCAAMATTCAATCCAAGTTCACTGTATTCCCTCAGGAATGCAAAGGGTCAGCACCATTCCATGGCCTCTTGCCTGGGGCTCCTGCTACCCGGAGCTCAATCTGCACTTGCACATCAAGCTACCTGCACTAAATGTATTCCTCAACACCAGGAGAGCCTCTGAAAATACAATCTGTATTCCTTTTTCATAAATCTACGTGTTTTCTGCTTGCTCTGATGGTCTGAAAGGGCCCATTGTGATTTAGTACATTTGTTACCAGCATGAGATCGCTTTTTTCAGCAGCCTGAGCAATTTCAGCAGCCTGAGCTTTTGGAAGGAACTCTGAAACAGTTAAAGGTTACATCCCTTATAGCACTTTTTATTAGTTCAGACAGGATGACAAGGCATCTTTATGCACTTCAAAAAAAAGCACAAATTTTAACAGCTGAACAAGCAAAGTTGTCTCAGTATTAAAAACATGTATTAAAAAAAGTGCTATTAAAAACCTGCCTGGTGTTGGGGGGGAAAAAATGTATCTAGATACATACTGGTTTACATTTTTTWAAATGTATTTTTAATTGTTGTTCTATTGTCTTTTTTTTTTTAACTACAGTAGCAACTATGCTATTTGATAAGCAAGAAGGCATCTGCATGTAACTTCTGAACTGAGCTTCAGCAGAAGCGCCACTGCAAGCGCCACACACTGGAGGAGACGCAAGTASCTACATTTTCTACTCAGTCCAAATATACAATGCTATCAAATTCAAGGTTATCAATAGACAATTACTATTTCGACAGGTCAATCCTTAAGGGTAATTAACTTAAAGAAGAATCCAAGAGATAAAAATGAACTCCTAGAAAGCCAGCTCTCCTCAGTCAACCCTTTCATGACTTTTGGGTATCATCACTCAAACAAACGCTGCTTCAGTTGGAGAATCACATTACAGAACTGCACTGTGAGAGAAGTCCATGTTAAAAGCTACAAACTGATTATGTTTTATGCAAGTCATGTTCTCACTGACAAAGAGGATGTGACAAAAAAAGGTGGGCTGTGGAAATCACAAGTGACTTTGACCACCAGACTCGGAGTCTAGGGCATCCATGTGGTCCTGATGACTCTTACATTGACTRCTCTAACTCACTACACCAGCTCTACTCTGCCTACAATGGTACTTCATAAAAGGAAATCTCTCAGCTAGAGGAATTCACTTTTCTTTGGCCACTTTTATGTTATGAATTTTTAAATTTGAATGTCTCTGATTATAGTTCAGACTTGCTTCCAAGTTGATCTGTTCAACAAACCATCGCTTTTAAAGGAAAACTGGAAAGCACAGAAAATAAAGTATGGGAAGACAAATTGTACCCACTTTGTTCAAACTACTCTTCAAGCAAATGCCAAAGGTCTTACTTACATAGCAGAAGCAATCCCAGAATTTATCAAGGAATTGGGGGTATTTATGTAGACTCAAAATAACAATCCACTCTATGAAGTACTTCACAGATGACTGATTAGTACTGAATCCAGCCTGAAAAACTTTGTCAAGAGTTCCACACAAAAAATTCTGAGAAAACAAAATCAGGCAATCCTTTAGTATATTGTTAGAGTTACTTCCATGAAGAAAAAAAAAATAAATAAAAGAACATTCTCATCTTTGTTATAATATTAGATGTGTTTTAATATGCAAATTAAAACATTTTAGAACCATCTGATTTCTTTATTATACTTTTCAAGTATTTTCTTATGAAGCAGTATTTGATGAAAGCAACACTTGTCAATTTCATGACTGTTCATAAAGTAGCAACATTTTTAATAAATGTAAAGCTTTTGATCAGACAGTCACTATAAACTCCTAGCTAGCTTTAACAGGAACAACCTGGCCTCCTAAAATTCACACATCCAAGAATCAGTTTCCAGTGTCCTCTAGAAATGCATCATAAATCCATGACTTCAGACTGAAAGAATGAAACAACACAAAATGTCTGCTACACAGAACTTCTAAATCAGCCATAGATGCCATGCTTTTTATACCCTGCTGTAATTTAACATATGCAGCTTGCGTGACACCAAATTACAGTTGAAAATAGGTATTTATTTTATTTATTTAAATAAATAAATTTAAATAAATATTACTTTTAAAATAAATAAATAAATAGGTGTAAATAAATAAATAAATTTATTTATTTGAAGTCATAGTGAAGAGCAATACCTGGTCAAGTTTTGGGAGAAGAACTAGGAGTGTCTGCCATACCCGGTTTTTAATTCTATGTTGTAAAGAGTTTGCGTAGTAGCGTGTTCTAGATCTGGATACCAGTTCATCCTGAAAGAAAATTAAGAGTTTTATTGCCTATTCTTCCTTTAAATTTGAAYTTACATGTAAATACAATTTTCTGTATTAAGAAAGCAGCATCTACTGCCCAGGTACAATCAGCACTGAACATAAGGTTAGGAAAATATATTTACTTAATTTTTTAAGAATTAAATTCTGAARCTTGTAATTAAATAATAAGGTAAGCAAATCACTTCTAAAGCTCGCTTTTCCCCACTTGACCATATCTCACAACACAAATTTAATAATTTTTCTCTACCATTTAATTGAGAGGAATGAGGAACCCACCCATTTCCTGTTCTTCAGATAAAAGCGGAATTCAATAGTACCAGAATGTAGGGATGGATGATGTTCTAATAGCAGCCTCAGTAATCTACCACTGATTTTAGAGTACTGCCAGTGYATAAGCAGCTATGGCATAAATGAAAATCAGACCCCAGCCTTCTCCATTATTTCTATCCATAATGGTATCCTAAGGAGACAATAGCTTTCTCAATTTAAAATGTGATCTGCAATTGTTAAAGTTAAATGCAGTGATTCAGAATGCAGCCTGAAGGAACATTCTTAACAGAACAAGAGTTCCAATTTGGATAATGTTCCAGGACGCAAAAAAAATCCACAAAAAGAGAGAAATAAACCCAAAAGGCAACTTTTAGTATTTYGGCTTGGCCAAATTAATTTCTGTCTCATAATCAAGCAAAATATATTACTTGGCAAATCTAGAGAAGCTCTACAAACAACCATAAGTGCACCTTGTCACTGAAAAGCATTTTGCATTTTACTAATTGTCCTAACATTATGTTTATATACCAAGAGAAATTAGTTTTACTTTATCAAGTAGTTTGATGAAAATGTCTTCCATAAACATCTTGTGCAGGATATTTGATCCATCCAAYGAGCACAGAAATTTAACAGCACAAACACGAACATAGTGGTCATCTCTATTTGTACTGTAAAATATTAATAAAAATGAAAATTAAAATCTACTTGTTTATATATAAAAATAATTCCTAAATTATAAAAAGGCATCAAATATCATCTTGAACATGCAGTCTTCAAGCTGTCTGCAGTCAGACAATATGCAAATACCCAGAACCAGAATTACAAAATCGGTTCATCGTTGGTGATGAAAAAAACTACTGAGTTCACAACCTGACTCTATCTACAGCTCTTCAATAACACCTAGGTGTTTAAAAAAATTTCCTGTAGAAAAAGATGTATCAAAAAGTTTTTGAAGTTTTGTGCCTGTAAATTGTAATTTTCTTACAACAAATTTATGCTTACAGTTTGGCCAAATATTCTAGTCCAAAGCCACACTTTATTCCTATTAGTGAATTATGGACATCTAGAATAACTAATGGGAAGAGCAAAATTAATGACATTATAGGTTGTGACAGCTGCAGACTGTCACAACAAGATATTTGATCACCAAAAAGCTCTTGGGAGAAAAATACAGTAGTGTACTTTTGCAGTAGAATTTTTTAGAAGCTCAGGTTTTATCAACTACTAACATTTCTGAAAACAATATCAAAATTTYTACTCTGGTTTACTTCCAGTGAGTAAAGATGGGAGTAAAACTACAAAAAAATTCAACAATCCACTAGCTAACGTACCCATTTCAAAAGCTGGAGGCAGAGCCTTTTGGCAGTACACACACCAAAAGAGCCTGCAATCAATGTGAAAAAGCCAAGCTCAAAATCTGGGTGCATTAAAATCTGAGTTTCTTAATTGTCTTGCTTACAGTGGTAAGGTATATACTAGCTCAGCATTCTAAAAAGTATTACTTTTATGAGGTGAGACAATGAGGAGTAGTTATTTCAGCCACAGTAAGATTAGCAAGTGGGATATATTTTCCTAAAAACACTTAGTATTTTTCTACATTTTGTATTTGAATTATGAATACAAGGTGATGAACAATCCTTTTACTAGTATTTTAAAAGGTTATGAATATATTCTTTTGGGTCCCTTCCAACTCAAGATATTCTATGATAAACAACCGACTTCAAAACGAGCATCTTTCCTACCACATCATCAATCAAGACAACAACACAATTCACACCAAATACTATAAGATATATCCTCAAAATCATTACCTTTCTGTAACAACRTTAGCTGCACATTTTTCTCCAAGATTTTCTATGAAGGCATGCACATCCTGAATGAGTCTTAACAGATAAAAGACAAAGCAAGAACATTAGKACAATGGCATACAAAACTTGTTTTCAATTTTTCAATAGTTGTCTCAAAGTTTCAAAGAAAAAAAGAAGCAAAAATACAAATCACTTTTTTTTTTAATATATACCTTTGATCTCTCCTAAACACAGTTCCAAAGACACAAGCCTCAGTGATAAGTTCACTATAATTCCCAGCGTTTAAGAAAGCATTTGTCAAGGCACTTCTCTCATCAACAGTGGGAAATAGCCAAGACTGACAGCAGTGACTAAGGACTACATTGAAGACTCCAGTCTTTGTAGTGGACAGATCTATGAGCTTGAAAATGATCTGAAAATAAGAAAGAAAAGATTCAAAATCTAGTTTTCAGAAGCGCTGGACTTMTTACAATAAAATTGCAGTGATATGTATTTTAGTAGGTCTTGTGGTCTTCTGCCTCCTATCTCAGCTCAGGTTAATGTTGTCTTCCACCTATTTATAATTCCCTGATTATAAGAGCAAGGCAACAAGTGGCCCAGTAAATGCTTATGTTGACAAAAACCAGAACTGATCTTTGCTTAAACAGATGTAACACCAGATGCTTTAAACTAATCTTCTGGTAAGTGAAACAAATGAGTCAGGGCTTACTTCATGAACACAAACCTGGAGTTTTAATCAATCCTTACCCATTAAAAAAAAATAAACATTAAACAAAATTTCTTACACATGTAGCAATATCACTCTTTTTTTTTTCTTTAAGAAGGACTACATACATGTTGAAGTCCATATTTAAATTAAAATGAAAAAGTGTCTTTGTATAATTTATTTTTTTTTTAAGGAAGGCATATTTAAGATATTTGAAACTGCTATCTAAAGCTTCTCAAAAAAAAAAAAATAAAACAAAACAAGAAAAATGGCCCCCAAATGTTTCTTTCCCTTCAGCAGGGTAAGTGCATGAGTACATTTCACTTACAAAGTAATTTTTTTCCAAGAAATTGCAAGCATTTGGGAGAGGACAGGGAAATTCAGAAAGAACGGGTAAGGCTTTCTAAGAATTCCTTTTTAGACATCAGTTAGAGCTGTCCACGAAAATGGTTTTTCAGAAAGTGTAACAGCCCTTAAAAGACAAAGCTGCTTTGCTTCCCTGCATTGAAATGATACTTTTGATAATGTGATAATTCTTTGCCAGGAGCACTGGGTTTATAGAGAAAGTTGTTCTAAATAGCCGAGCATTAAAGCACAAGGAAGTTCATGAAGAGATTAAAATACTGCAATGCCCTGTGAAGAAACACTTTCTGGAAAGAAAGCTCTACACTAGAAGTATGTGGAGGTTTTACCAAGAATTCAAACTTATTTTCTAGTGCAAAGACAGGTATTGTAACTTTCCCAGCAATTCCAAAATTGAACTATTTATTATGTTTCACTTGTAGGGAAGCAGCACAGCATTTACTATGCACTTCTCAATCCTGAAGCTTTTTTCAACTGTTTCACTCATAGTAAAAGTTCAGCACACACAAAAGAAATTTAAGGTATTTAAGTTCCAGCACAATTAAGATATAAATAATCACAAACAAAAAAGAAAAATGCAGAAATGAAGCTAAAGAACACAGTGCCCTGGGCACCTTCTGTGGAAGCCCTCTTTGATTTTACCACAGAGATATTCCCCCTTTTTATTCAAAAATACCCCTTTGTTCCAACCTTTGCAACTATTAAAAAGACAGAGTGCACTGTGGTAGAAAAATTATAACTATGCTTCCGTGACAAATCAACATCAGGCAGTTCCATTTTTCTTTCTTTTTAGATACAACTACACAGCCATTGCACTTGGGGTCAATGGCGACAGGGACTGCCAAGGACTGGGATAAGAACATACATAAGGAGGCACTTGCTTGGGAACTTTTATCTTCTTTTTCTTATGAAGGGGCAGAAGGTGGCTCGACCAGATGCCCTTGGTTGAGTATAGGAGACCTTCATTAGCTCCTTGATGCCTGCTGTCATGGAATGTCCCACTGCAGACAACGGGACAGCTGTCACACAGACTCAGCACTCTCAACATTGGCAAAACACACCTTACATGATCTCTGAAATACTAATGCTGATGTTAAGACAGTAATTCGAAGAATTCAAACAAGTTTTAGGATCATGAAAAATAAAATACTATAGCTAGYTAGTTACAAAATTGAGCACACAATTGCTGTTACAGGTATTCATTAAAAGTAAAACCTAACCAATTTCTACAACAGAAGAGATTATTTACCATCTTTACATACATATCTTATTTTGGTTTGGGTCCACATGAAGACTACAAATGCAAAGTGTTATCTACTGTTTAGAATAGAGAATGGTAACATTCATTTGAAGCAGGCTTTAGAAAAACAAAGAGAAAATAATAAAGACTACATTTTAAGGTAATTAAGACTAATACAGAGATGTCACAGTAGTTTTAAATAGTTAGGAAGTGTCCATTTTTCTGTATCTTATTAAAAATAATTTTGGTGCATCTGGGCTGAAAATAAATTGGAGACATTTGCTATTACTGACAGTTGTGAGGGTGACAGCAGGATAGAGCCATCTYTCCTAGTGTGATTTTTGTGCCAAGTGCAAGGCAGCACATGAGGCAATAAGTCCAAACAGACACATATACTGGCAGATAATTCATAATGTATTTCTGCCCTAGTTAAAGTCTTGCACTCTTTGTGGACTGTTCTGCACAAATATTTAATTGATGCTTAGAGGAGTTAAAAAAAAAAAAAAAAAAATCCCAAGCAAGATCATGTAGCAAAGAAATAGCTAACAACTTTACAGTGTATAAAGGCAGTATGAACCAACATCCTACTACTAAATACAGTTTTCTGGACTTAAATCAAAAAAACTCCACTGTGACATATGCAAGAACTTTTGGAGTTCTGGCACCTGCATAAATCTTACAAAAGAATAAAGAYTGCATTCTTATTCTTTTCAACACTGGAAGCAGCTCTACCATGCAGTATTAAACTGAACTCTAAGGTGACTGTGTTTTTTGTTTTCTGGACCTGGACTATCAGAGAAAATAATCCTTTARAATAAAAAAAATCAGTTTATTCAATAGCATGTACAAAACTTTTGAACTGTTCTAATTTTTCATTTAAGACAGCGTTTTCATAAAGACTAAACTATTAGAAAAAAGTATCATTTTCCCAGAATATTAATAGTTTGTGATAGTTCAGGTGTCAAATCCTAAATTAAATATTCAAGAGGAACTGCATTATGTAAAAATAAAACTAAAAAACTATTTTTACTGCATGCGGAAGATACTGAASAGTTTAAAAATCAAAGAAACAATGCCTTTCAGTTTCTGTGTTACAAAAACAAACAAGATATTTGTTTATCTTCAATCTAACTCTCAGGTTTTTTAACATTCTCAAATCTGGGTCTTTTTGAAAATACAAAAGTCACAACAGCTGAGGGGAAAATAAAATGTAAAATGTAAAATCCAGACAGAATGCACATTCCCTGCTCAAAAAAATATCTTGAAACTGACCTCTTTTATTTTGGCATATGCTTGACCCTTTGCACTTGCAGCAATAGCTAGAACCTCAGTATCAAAGATGAACTGGACAAAAGCTTTCAGATTGGCCCAAAATATTAGCTGYGTGTTGCTCAAAGAGGATATAATTTTCCAAACCAAATCAAATGCTTCTATGCAAAGAGACTCTGATGAGTCCAGAAGCTGTAAATAAAGAGAAGAACAAAGTGTTACGTCTGACAAAAAATACCCAAAAAGCTATTAATACTGTGCAGGTTTATCTTTTACCTTGGGAACAAGAACTTTCATGCAGTTGAACACAGGTAAAACTTGATCTGAAGGAAGAATAGTTAGGGCTTCTAATGCAGACTGTAGAATTTTTTTAGACCTTTCAGCTGTGGATAATGACACATCTGAAGTTTCTTCATACCCTTGAGCCAGGGTTGGAAATAAATTTAAAACAAAACGAAGGCAAATCCACTGGTCATGAACATAGCGTGCAACAATTTTCCCCCATCCTCGTGAYGTCGTTTCTTCACCTAAGCTGTGAAAAAAAATACTTCTCTTAAATAAATATTTTGTTAAGTTTATCCTGCACATGCCGTCCCCACCAGGAAGTGCTTAACTGTACAAACTCACTGTACCACTTCAAGGTGCTAAGATTTACATAGTTCATGGCAAGACTGCACAAGTACCTGGAAATTAAATCTAAAATTGAAGTGGTTTTTAAAAGAGAAAAATCAATTCTAGGCTCTCAATTTCATTAGTCAATCATCTGTGAGTGTATTCAGTGGAAACATCACTATGTGCTGGTCGTGTTTTTTTGTTACCAAGTATTTGCGTTTTGGCACTCTGGTTTGTTCTGGGTTTCCCTTCCCAACAGTAAATAATTTCCATTTAAATTTACTTGTGTACATGCCATGGCTCTGTGCAGTGTATATATATTTCATCTGGCCTAAGGGTAAGCAATGCTCAAAGCTAGCTGTGGTTTCATGGCACTAGAGGAGTGAACCAAAGAATCAATTATGGCTGCTTTAATGTTCTAAAAGSTGAATGTTAAGACAAAAGAGCCCCTGAATAAATAGTTGGGGTACAGAATTCTTCATTTTTATCTTGGCAAAAAGTTATAAAGGAAAAGAACAGGAAAAGCCAGCATCTTAACCACTGCTTCATATTAATCAAATTTATTCTACTTTATTCTACTAGAATTACTRGAGCTTTAGCACAGATGTACCTTTTTTTTTCTTCAGTGTAAGATGGCTTCTTTAATACTTCGTTGAATTGAGAAAAGGAAATTAATTTCTTCAGGGCATCCACTGAAGGCAGAGATTCCAAGTGCACTTCCAGCTTCCCATCCATGATCTCACACACAGCTGCAAGTGAAGCCATGCTGGCTACTTTCCTAATTTGTTCTTTAACCTTCGGCTCCTAAATAAAACCAAATCATACATGAACAAACACACAACTTCTAATATGATACAAATAATATACCAGTATTTCTAATAATCCTCTTATTTGTATCACCAAACTCATAAGGTAGCAACTCTGCATCCTTCTGCTTCTGTTATTTTCTTTCCCTGGTCTTAACACAGCTTGGCTTGGCTGGGCCAGCACAATGTGTCACAAGTTACAAGCACTGACAGAAGCATAAATCTTCCTAMTTACCATCACTTATGCATAAAGTTCACCAGAAACCCCATGCAACAGGACAGCTGAAATTTGGAATACTACACAGTAGCTGCTCCAAACTAGACCACAACCATGCTGTCGTTATTTTGTGTGATAAACACATATTCAAAGAGGCATAAAATAAAAAGTCATTAAAAAAAATCCAATAAGCATATAATAGCCGTATTGTAAGAAAATATTGATGTTATTTAAATATCTCCAAGTTACATTTGGCTGTCTGAAGCACAGAAAAGACTCTTTTCATCTGTAATTACTCGACATTTTCTTCCTTCTTCTGAAACCAAWGATGTACTACATGTGCAGCTGCAGAAACCATCATGAAAATATAATATCCCTGAATTAAAAATAAGTTGATAAAGGTCCCCAGTGAACACTAATTTTGAACCAGAAAATGTTTACTTTGAAAATACYGCAAGAAGTACATAATTCTCATAAACAAAGGAGAAAATAAAATTAGGTGTTGTTTGTTGTTTCCTTAAAACTCAAACCCAGCTGATCAAATACTTAAAATCTTTCAATGTTGACTGTTCTTGAACAAAACACTAATACCAAATAATAAGAACAAAGTTTATAATGCCAAACAAATCTTAATTTAATCTCTTTTTTTTTAAATGGAAGTTATTAATGTTTCTTTACTTTTTGAAAATATATCTATTCCAGATATAGCAGCCTAACACATAGAACTATGGGAAAATCAACACAACYATATGAAAAACCCAAAGCAATGCTGGGTTTAGGAATTTCTTTTTCTCTGTATGTTTCAGCTTTGAAGTCAAGAAACACAAAAGGAATTTTCATTTAATGCTAATTGAATCAGTAAGATTAGTTCCTATTTGAGGAAAAAAATCTTTGAGTACATGGTTCATTATTAAAATAAGAATATTACTTTAGCTATACACACTTCTAAATAATGCAATATAAATATTTAAAGTACAAAAAATCTTACCTACAGATACTTTACATTAATATTACAYTGGCAAAAAAAAATACGTATGTGTTAGGGAATATATATGTGCATACACATTCATACAAAAATTTTATTATTTTATTTCACATTATATATAATATTCTAATATATAKCATAATAGAAATRCATATTTTATATTAACTTATGCTTRTGGTATGTCARTATAATTATTAATATAAAATCTAAAGATTATAKTAATTATATATTTTAATTACTTCTGAATTGTTTGTTTTATGTCAATACTTACTGTTGTAAATAATGCTAAATTACCTTTTCAGAATYTCTCTCCTGAAGATTACGAATAGATGCATTTATCAGAGATGAAAGAAAATTCTTGATCGATGGCATTTTCTTCTGGTTGATTTTCAAGCACAAATTCACAATCTCTGGAATTAAAGCCAAGTACAGATCACAACGATCCAGRTCACCAACCTAAAAATGAGGAAACAACAGCAATTTGCATCACTAAGAGGAGGAAACTTAAACTGAAAATCAGAAAGAAAACTTCTTCCTTCTTACTGTGCCCATCGAAAAAAAAGTTAACAGAAATGATTCTATGCAAATTGATTTTATAGGTGTTTAAATATTTGACATGAATTCTAGGAACATTGGTAAATCAAAATAACAAGCAAGCCCACACTAAAGTATGTCTCATAATCCTTACTTACAGTGCTTAACTCATTGGTAGTGAGCCGTCTGAGAACAAATTCAAGAACACTCTCCACAGGTGTCACRAGAGATTTCCAGATAAAAAGCAGTACTTCATCTTTGGGGAGAAAAACAATGTATTAGTACATAGAAATGCAATTCCTTTAAGAATTACATTGTATCATGCAGATTTAATTGCGGTGCAAAGTTATGCAGTACCTGTATTCAAATACCTAAAAATAACATGAAACAGCTCTGTACTCTTTAGCAGTGTAAGCCATAAGGCTGAAAGAATCAAACCAGATYACATTATTTCCTGAGATTCACAAAACATGACTGAACCAAAACCTACAAAAGACCAGAAGACCACATCTTAATTTTCCAACTTTTAATGCTCATTTTTGTCCTATTCCCAACCTTCTGCACCAACAGTTCATTCTTATTAATGAACTAAGACTTTAAAAAAAAAACAAAGCCTTTCATATCCAGCAATTAACTTTGCAGAGAGAAAAAACAGTTTCAGTTCCTAATATTTATAGACATGAAAACTGGTTTTTGGGGCTTGGTGGTTACTGGTCTGGTTTTTGGTGTTTTTTTGATGCTTAGAAATAATTCATCTTTGGAAAAAGTGCAATCTTACAAGATTTTAGCCAAGTAGCTTCCAGGCTTAATATTGTAAATGAAAATACAAGATTATGACACAAAATGTGGTATTTTCTATAAGAAAAGACTAGGCTACCAAATATACCACATGTACATAGCATTACACAAAGGAAGACACAAGTTTATCACACAAGGGAGGTAGGTCACTCTGATAAAACATATTTAACCACAAACACACTTCAGTCTGTGTTTCAAGGGAAAGGGTGAGCTGAAAGCCAAGGAAATAACATTTCAGTATGAAAATGGAGTTAAAATACTCTGGCATGGCCATCTTGTTTTAAAATACCAGTAATTAGTTTCAGTATTTAGGAAAATTACTCAGAGGCTACAGCTAATGTTTTTTTTTCTGGAGCTGACCCTGAATAAAAGGTCAACTTGTACCAAAACTATTATGAAATGGAAGACATCCAAAAGTACAAACATAAAGGGAAATACTTCCACAAATTCCTTATCCATATTGTACTTACTTTCAATATTCCTTACTAAAATGGCTCATTGGACTATGGCTCATTGGACTACATCTTTAAGGCTTAAATTGTTTAGAACCAACAGTTTAATTATAAGTCTCAAATCATTAAAACGTCTTCTGCAATTTATATTCATAAAATCCTCAGAKAAGCATGTTGGACATAAAACCCAATTCATTACAGGGAGCTCGGTAACACAAGCAAAAAATAATAATAACCAAAATCTTACTGTTAAAAAGTGAAATCTAACAACAGTTCAGACAGCAAGAACTGGAGAAAAATGCTGATGATTTCAGCACATGTTTCAGGCATGTCTATCCCCATTAAGATATTCTTAAATAAAACACTTCCCACTTGCTATTATTTTTGTTTTACAAAGCTAAATTCCTTTATTATTCCCTACCATTTTACTGCATTACATTTGACAAACAGGACTTTTCACTTCCCATTTAATCAACACAGAAACACAACTTCTGAATTTTACAGCATTAATCCTCCCACCCCTCACCACAGGCAATTCACAGCTGCAGAAAAGATAGATTTATTACTTTGCTCTCCTCTGCAGAAGGCAGAAGCACAAAAACACTGTAGAAAATAATTCTAAGACAAGTAATCCTTGTTTAACTTAAAACTACAATGCAATTCAGAAAGCCTCTTGGAAGACTGATGATGGGCTGTACTGGAGCACCTACAGGGATCTKCAAAAGGATGGATGCTCAGCCTTGCCATACCTCTGGAACTCTGTTAGCAGAACTCAACATGCCATGTCAGGTGTCAAAAGTTCCCAAAGAAGGAGCAATACATTGCAGGTAAAGAAATAAGGCACACAAGGAAATTATTTATTCTTGTAGTAAAAAATTAATATGCACTTGCACATGATTTGTAGGGTTCTGCTTCAGGCTTGTTCTACCCTTTTGCTGTAGGCTGAATGTACAGTGATAGCTTAGTGGACACGTCTTCCAGTTTAGCTCATTTCAAGGAACCCACTTCAATAGTCAGAGGCCATGCCCCAGTGTGAACATTACCAGCCTGCATAATTAGTGCTCAATATTTCAGATAAACAGCTAAAATTCAAGGTGGGGGCAGAATGTATACAGCACTTGTTAAAATGAGGGCAGGCATTTGCTTCAGGGCTGCATTTAGACAACTATATGAGACTTGGATGTATAACCTGAAACTATTTTTGTTACAAATAACAGCCTAGAATTGGAGCCAACTCACTCCASAACTACTCCTGTATTCAATGTTAAAAACACACTGAAAAAAATCCCAAAATAATCTGGAGGAGTAGAAACCAAATGCTAAGATTACTCCTGCTCTCAGTTAGCATCCCAGGTCATGAAAATAAAACTGCAATGTTTCATTTGCTCTCAGGAAAAACAATTAGGTCTATTCTGGTTAGAAACTGASCTAAAGGAGTAACACAAAAGGAATAGTAAAGGCTCCATAGCTTTTGTTCAGACTCCCCTGAAAGGTCTACAAGTTAAAGTGCTCAATCTGTGGGGGCCAACATGCCCAGACAGACAGATCACCAGGCTTGTATTTCAGTGAGCACCTCTTAGCCTACCAGTCAACTCAGAAAACAGGATGTCCAGCAGGATCACTTTAGGCACTCAGGGAAGACTTTGGCTGAACCTGTGGCAGCTCAGCAGATTAGGCTGAGTTTCTGTAGCAGCTTCTTTCTGAAGTGGCTAAACGATTTATGGAATCCATTTGTTTTTAAAGAACAGGCCGATAAATATTTGCAATACAGTCACACTCTTCATATTTTAACAGATAACCTAATCCTAGTGGATGACAAYTGCTTTCTCAGAAGGTTTCCACATTGTCAATTCCCAGTCCTTAGGACATCTGTAGGATTGGACCCACAGCTCAAGTTTAGAAGAGACACGCCAGATCATCAACTATTACATTCAYCACTTCCAGGCTAACATTAGTTTGACAATATAGCCATAAAACAGTTCAGTACCTTAGGGTTAGTTAAGACTATAATTAACAGAAGACACAGTATACTGAAGATATCACTAACCATCTTGTGTATTGGAACATTTTAACGAACGGGTCTGCAATAACTTCAAGAGAAGCTGTAGGCTTTTATCTGTTTTCAGTGTTGGTATGTAAGCATTACTGCCAAGTTTCATCAAGACATCCAGAAGAGGGTTCAAGAAAGCCTCTAGTTCAATCCATTCTATGTTGCTTTTTCCACTACACAAAAACAAAAATTAAAAAGAAAGTCTCCTTCTGAGYATCAGCCTTAAGTGCTGAAGTTACTTATGGAAATAAATAGGACACGTTTCCAAGACGCTTAAGTATCTTTAGAAATGTTACCMAGGATGTTTGCAGCAACAGTTGGATAAGGTCTAAGGAACGATCAGGTTGATCGAAAGTCTACAGAGAAAAGAGGACTGYTTCCCAACTTGATCAGGCTTCTACTGGATCCTTCAGGAGTGATGGGAWTGAAAAAGAGAGAAATGTAAAATAAGGTATTTCATACTTACCTGTATTTATTCTTCATCTGCTCCACGTCAGCAGCCAACAGAATCATTGTTGASACAAGCTTAGCTTCAAACCAGTCAGGCATAAAGCAATTTTCTCCTGATTAAAGATATTTTAAGATTTCCACAGTAACTAAAAAATATATTCATATTAATTTCTTAAACTTCTGTTTTGTAACTTATTTTAATAAATTAATAGGACAAAAACAATTAATGCTAACGTGAGCATTACTACTCATTTTTGGCATTCTTTAATCTAGATATAAATTAAACACAGTTGGCTTTTATGTTCAAATAAATTTTAGGTACCATGTTATGTAATGTCACATATCATGCAGCAGTACCCAAGACTTTTCCATTGTTTATACATTAGCATATTCAAATTAATTTAATGAAGAACATCCCTCTATGCTTCAGCGGAAATAGCACCTGTGATTTTGACCACCCACGAGTTATATAAAGAACTAAAACTACTCTGTAAAAAAGAAATGATAAAAAAACTAAGTGAAGTTTCTCTTTCTATTGATCTTTTATGCAGGACTACATCATCAGACTTRTAAAATTGTTTCTTAAATAGCAGTACATAAATTGGTTTCAAAGGTTTTTTAAACTGGCATGTTTCTGACTTGGGGAATTTAGAAAGCAAAATATTGGAGGTCCAATTCAAGCAGCTGGACATGTTAATTTTTTTTCTTTTGAAGAGCTGCTTATTACTTAAGTTTCACACAAAACCACAGAATTGCAAACATCACTTTTAAAAAGTGAAATGCAGATGCTTGCCATGGAAATGCAGAAAATACAGACTAAGGACTAAACACATATTTCTGGAAGGAGAGAAGAGCTGTCAAAACTTCTAGCAAGTTTACCCTGGAGTATCAGCATAGAGAATTTGCTTCCAATTCTCTATCAAGAAGACAATGAAGGTTTCCTGGGCTGCAACAAGCTTCTGAAGCTATTTATCATCAGCAAATTCTGACCTAGCTTTTCTTATCTGCTATATGTATAAAAGTGCTCAGTTTTGACTTTTGACAATATAAAACTACAAAATTCATTATGATTGCACTACTTGCATAGCAAACAAGTGAATGCCACACAAAAGTTGAATTATTTTTAAAAATCAACTTGCCATTCCTTTCAAGGTGTCTGAAAGAAGACACTGACCTGGCATTGTAATAATTTAAAATGTGTTGGTGAACAAAGAAAACCCTTCAAAATTTATCTGTGTATTTATGCAGCCTACAGAGTACCCTCCTTGGTTGTAACGTGGCAGCTCTCCTGCTGCAAGCTGTCCAAGATCAAAAGAATGCAAYAATGCAAGAAGGTGTGTACTGAGCTGACAACTGCCTCAATCTATGGCCTCGCTCCATAAAAACAAAGTAGTAGTTTTACAAAGCTCTCCTGARAAAGGTGACAGAACCTGTGTGCATTCCTATTCCCTTGCACCTTCCTACACCCCTGCATTCCAGCATTTTCAGAACCATCAAAAGAGCAACAAAATGAATCTAATGGACAAGCATCATGGCAGCATTAAAACTGRATATTAAGACTTAATGTTCAATTAATGCTGCAGGACTTTTATGAAGGAAAGCTGGAATTAAAAAATAAGGTTCAAACATAAGAATCATGAATACCACAGGTTGGGTAGAACTTGAACACAAAAAACAAACAACTATTCTAAAATCCAAGGGGATTGTAATTTTTTAAATTTTCTTAAAAATAGCGGTTTTTATTAATACACATTTAACTTACTTTCAGATGCTGGTGCCTTAAGGTACTCTCCCACAAGGCTGTGCACATATTGACACAATGATGATGTCTCTTGATGTTTAAAATCCGCAGTTACAGACTTCCTGAAGCACCTGTCGTTCACTTGCAACCAACTGCAAAGCTGAATTGAAAAACAGAATGTTACCCTTGGCCACATCTGGCAGTTGTGGACTGATGTCACTGACTCAGCAGCAGCACACCAGAGCAGTTAAACATAAACTGTTGCATTAGCACATCCACACAATGCGAGAGGTGCTCACCAGAGCTACCTTGAGCCTTAGCAGCCTCTTCCCTTCCAACTRCACACAGAAAAATGTTCTTCCAGAGGGTAACTCAGAGCACCCCCAAAAAATCAGTGGTAGTACCAATACAAAAAACCCAACAACTCTTAAAATTAAGCAAGACTGGTAAAAATTCCCTCATCTCAAAAGGGTTTCTTCCAATCAAGTGTTATCTAGTGAGACCCACTTTTTTTTTAAACTTTTATGCCAAAAATTAATGGAGTAAGATGAAATGTACAGTACACATAACAAGAAGACACTATGCAAAAAATCGCTTTATCATTATACTGCTATACAACTAACCAAAAGTTATGGCTACATAATCAGTTGGCTCCAGTATATACTAGATATAAAAATTATTTMATCTTTGAGTTTTTATTCACAGTGTTTTACATCTCGCAAAGATATAAAATACATATAGTGAAAGAATTTATGATTTATAATCTCAGTCTACGTGGTATGCACATTTTTCCCTTTGAGAGTATCCTGTTATTTCTACCWGTGCTGGATTTGATGAACATAAAACCAGTTTCAGTTCTCACCTCTGTCCATAACARAGTATCTCTCCTCAGGGACTCCTCTGGTCTAAGGGACAGAAGAAAGCTTGAAACTTCTGGGAAGGACACTTTCTCCTGAAGAAATTAATTTAGATACAGTAGCTGCCAACATAATATACAACATATAAATAATACCTATATGACAACACAAGAAGTTTGCTTTTATCTGGCAAGTTTCAGTGAAAGAAATTTACTTCTTTCTTTTTGTGATGAAGGCTCATTTCTGCCTTTTTGGGATCAACTTAACTGTACCAAGSAACAAAACTTAATTTTCCCAAGTATTAACGCCTATCTGAAAATAAATGAAGGACTTTCAGAATAGTGCTATTCACTGATGACACCTTTTAAATTCACGTAGATGAATGATTAAGAATCACTCATAAGTACTATTTCTGCATTTCTACAAAGAAATTTAGGTTTATAGCCATAACAAACAACATGGAAAACTATTTAGAAAGCAAGCTATAAAACAAACAAAACAYGAATACTTTGATTACTGAATAACTAAGCTCCTACTATTCCAACCCTAACAGTAGTTTTATAATTTTGGTATCACAAATACTTTTATTATTAGTTACTACGGAAGGTCTATTTAGTTTCCATCTGTTAAAACTTAAGTTTATATAGCAGATATAGAATAACATCCTGCTACGATGACTACCACCTTAAAACCCAACTATATAACATCTACAAACAAAACCAAATAAAAAAAAAAAACTTCTTATGGAAAACTGAAGATAACAGAAGCATACTTACACAGCACAGCTTAAATGGTCTCTTAAAAATTGCAAATCCAGTAAAATCAGTATAAATACTGTATTTAGCAATTTTTTGAATACTGTTGACTCTGTAAAAGTGTTAGTGTGTTTCTATCACATMAAGAAAAAGAAAAAACAAAAACCAAAACAAAACATAAAACCTCAAACTGACCACATCTGTCAAATGCATAGTTGTTTGAAGAAGATAGCACTGAGCAGCTCCACGCAACAAAATCTGATGTGTAATCATAGTACACTGGAGGACATCTCTGGAAAGAGGAAAAATACACACTGTATAAAACTCAGAAAATTTAAACATTTTCATRTATTTTCTAATTATTAACCATTTTAAATACATTAGCTTGAATGTAACAGACATATTCCRTATCAACTATGAAACAAACACCACCTGGTCAGACCACAAAAAATCCAGAACCGAAACTACTATTAAATGTACTTTCAAAAACTGATAATAAAACTTGGATGAGCATAAACCTGACAAAATAAAAAGCAGGAGAAGAAAGAACAAAATCAAAACTAAAGGAATAACGCCCACGATCACATCTGTTCAGACTGGTAATTTAAGTTAGCATTTCTATCTGTAACAAGTACGCAAATGTTTGCCATCRAATTCTCGCTCAAGCACAAAATTGAAAGAAACTTTCAGAGATATTTTACCAGAAAAGGCATGTTCAATGTTTTTTTTTCTCTTTGTAAACTGCTTCTATCCAATATTCCTTCCACCACCAGTAAGATTTTATTTAAAAGCTCAAATTTCATTAAACTGGAATGACAATCCATTTTTAGTGGTTTTAGGAAGTGAAAGCAGACACTTAGGAAATATCAGTGTGATTAAGGTCAATAGAGAGGCCAAGAAGYTCTACCTAGTCTTTTATTTAGAAATCTTCCCATTTCCAGCATTATGGGCTGCTCCCTGATACAGCCTCAACTTCTATTAAACCAGGCTGTAACATAACTAGAACGAAAGGAAGAAGTGTGACACATATCACCCAGGAAGTGGAAAAGACCAGGAAAAAGTTATTTTTAAAAAGTAGAAATTATGAAGACCTAAAATGCAAAAACTTCGTTTGTTTCAAAATTCACACAGAGATATGAGTACATTGATTCTTGAATTGTTTTCCTCTGCACATCAGACATAAAGGAGACAGTCTTCCATTCCTATGCACAACCACCCTTCAGAAGTAACAAACACAAATCAAATCCTCACTCTCCAGACTGTCAGCACATTTCTTTGGAAGAAACCTGTAAGAACACAGTGCATTGTATATTTTACCTTAAAGCATGAAGTCCTTCAGCACCAAGTACTTTACATGCAGGGATAGATGCCAAAGCCATAGAAAGAAACAAAATGGGAACAGCACACCAATGCCTATTCGTCATCTTCTGAATAAATTTTAACAGGAAGCTACCTTAAAATAAAAGTAAACAGAACAACCCAGAGTGATTCTCCAATGCATTTAAATAAYATGAACTCCAGCAGAAGAGTGGTATTGTAATTTCCTACAATTAAATGAAAGACAACAGAATAATTTCCTAATTATTTCAATAAAGAAATTACATTCTGAAGAAGTCAGCAAGGTGGTATGATTAGGAGATAAACAGAAATAAACCTAATTTTAACTGTGGTAATCTGCACTAATCACCATATTCAGGAATGGAATTTTAACTCTTGATCGTTTTGAGTACTAAACAATGCCCTTTTTAAGGTGCTGTTCCGTTTGTGAGATGGCAGACCATAGAATAGTGTGATTCAACCAGTTTAATGGATGTTGGAATGGGCAAAACAATTGTCAACAAGCCACCACATCTACAATTTRTGGAAGCAGGCTGCCCTATCACAGGATTCTAATCGCAGACCCTCTATTTTGTGATAAAATATATGCCCTTGGGACATGACAGAGAAATACGAAATATATAAGGTATAAATACATAAGGTATTTCATACTAGAATATACCTGTACATATATGGCACTGAACAGAGCTGATTCTACCCATATTAGATCCAAATAAACCAGTAATTCTGGTCTCCTTCTTTTCAGCCTACACCWGCATCAAAATYTGGAACAGTTTCAGAAATTTTCCTYCATMCAGCCTCACAATAAAAGAATCTTTATTCTGTTTGAGCCCTTGGWCAGGCTCTTTTGAATGCATCACTACACAAGTCATGACTAAAAAAGTCTGGCAGATAAAGAATCTGCAAATACTGTTCACCTTCAGTTCTTAGGARCTTGTTTCAGCTTTTAATTTTTCCATTAATAAGAAGCAAATCTGCTTCATTTTGCCACTAGAACAATTTTGTAGCTTTGTACTGCAGGATCTGTTAAAGTGCCTGAAGAACTTTCCTCTGAAAACTCCACTGTCAGAACTACTCCTTTTTTCTCTCAAGTAAATGCTTACATGAGATACAGAAAACAGCTCCATAGTTTTKGTTTGGTTTCCTTATTTAAAAAAAGGTAAGGGGGAAACTAAAACATACCTTTTTCTTCTTCTGGAAGAAGAGTGAAATAAGTAGCCAAAAACTTCTGTAACCTCATTCCCAAAGGTGGACAGGCTCCTATTAATTGACCTGGTGTCCTGTTGGGTTTTAAAACATTAGATAGACAACTAGCATGTTAACAGCTTTCRCATTAGATGCAACAGATTTAATCTAAAATCTAACAGATTTAGAATGTTCAGAATTGCCCCTAAACAAAAACAAAATATCATTCAGTGACACTCCATGAGACCAACAGAGAGAYAACCTATGAGCTGTCTCATGAGACRTCTCAGGATCTTGGCTATTACAGATTAGCATTAGTCATGAGATTCTAGAGCTTTCTATCAGCTTGACATTAAGCACAAAAACTTTGTATATTCTTGGTATGCTCAAACACGCACCCTCCTCTRTGTATGCCTCTACCTGTCAGTAACTTTAGCAGCACCATTTTTTTATTAATGTGTTTTCCGTAGCTAAGATTTTACCCAGTATTTAAACCAGTATTATTAGAATACATTTGCAGCAATCAAGAAATTAAATAAGCAATTGATTAATTAAACCAGTGGTTTACCTGCTGTAGAGGGAACTTTCTGAGAGGGCATCCATGAGTGGTCCAATAACAAACTGGAAAAAGGAAACAAGAACAGTAGCTAAATGTACACTCCCAAGGCACCGTTACATAGAAACTAACTAGACTTATTTCACAAGACTTCAAAGGACAGAGCCAGAAATTACAGAGTACTCTTGTTAGTAGTAAATAGTAAATGCAAAAAAAAGAAACTAAAGAGAAGGGGTACCAGGAGCGTAAACAAATTTTTTCCACTGGATACATTTCACAGAATATTGTGAAAGTTGCAGGCAAATAAGAAATCCTTTTGGGAAACAAGAGAAAATAGATTTAAACACAAAACAAAAGAATGATGAAAAGCAAACACAAGTAAAAGGATTTAGGGTGCATAATAAGGTTGACTTTATTTCAAGTTACTCATCAAGAGGCTGACTTAATTTKTTTAATTCAGGAATGTAACCTCTGAGGGGAATGCTCCTATGAAGGAGAAAATGAAAAATAAATAGTACAACGTAGATAATTTCTTACTAAAGAGTAGGCTGGCTGGAGAGTCAATCCACATGTGATAGTAATAAAAAAACCTTTAAGCTTTAATATTTCTTTCCACACAGAAAATATTTTAAAGTGTGGGGGTTTTATGGGATACAATAATACATGATTATATTACATGGATATTCACCTCCTTACAGGGTTATCTAGAACTGGATGCTCAAAATCCATCCTTGAGCAGGAGACAGTATGCACAAACTCGAAATCTGTTGACCAGGTTTATCCAAGGCTTGTTCAATSAATTAATATTAATAATTTTGGAGARGMTCAGGAGTAGAGGARTACACCTAGTGCAGGTAGCTCAGTGCAAGCTGCAGGTTTTGTYCTGGGTGGCAGGAAATAGCTGGAGCATGAACTGGCACTGACACTCTGCCCAGAAAAAGGGCACTGGGACCCACGTAAGGCTCACACAGAAGAGGGGTTCAAGTCCCTCTTAGCATATAAAAAGGGGGTTCAAGTTCCTTGCAGTATTTTAAATGGGAGCACACTTGGCTGAGGCTGTGCAAAACTGGAACTGCATGGGGCAAGAGTTATCCAAAGAGCATGCAAGAGCAGTGCCAGGAGGACTGGCCAGCTATAACCTGGAGTGGCAGCTCAGCAGCACAATGGCCACCACATGGAACTTTTGATCAACATAAATTCATTTCTGCAGCAGGATCTGGAAGATAAAATCCCCGATCAAGGGGGTTATTGGCATATTTGGAACACATGTGCATGGATTCCTCTGAGGGTAACCAAACTGACAGCAATACACATCAGCACTGATCAGTGCAACCCCAGGGTATCCCGGCACTCAGCCTGATCAGCATCAGCCTGTGTGGTCTGRGAAATCCCAGTGCTCCACCTGCTACAAACCAAGAATGAGGACATAGAGTTTAACACAYGGAGCCCAGAGAGGGAGCAAGTTTTTAAAGCAATAAAAGGAGCTTTGGCACCTGSTCCTGCTCTGGGGCTCCCAGAGTACACAAAACCGTTCAATCTCTATGTACATGAATGTATAGGAATAGTCAGCAATGCAGAGATTAAAACGCCACCAGAGATGGGTCACACATTGCTTATTTCAAGTAGATTCGGTTGGAGCAGTGGGAGCACCAGTCTGCATTAGATCAGTGGCAGCAGCACCAACAAAATCAGAGAGAACCCAYCTCCTTATCCTGGACTATCCTGTGACAGTCCATGTCTCACATGAGGTATAAGTACTGTTGACACTCCCTACACACACTGTCAGATACCAACTCCACCTTGGGTTTACCACAGCAGTCTCAGCACTCTGCTTTCTCTAAGTAATCTCACCATGGCGTAGTGACACGAGAACAGCCACAGCGGAGGGGCCCTGAACAAAGGAGTTCTCAAGTCTGTGCACCTGCTCTTCATGCGACACTTGGTCCAATGGTGGCTTTTCCTCCGAGTTCCTCTCCTTGTCCACTGGATTCTGCAGAGCCTCTGTGTGCCTGGCTGGAGCTGCACCTACCTGGGCCCCTTGTTAAGCAAAGTGTCRGTGCCAGTTCACTCCTCWTTGCCTGGGTCTCCAACAATTTYCCACCACCCAGGGCAYAACCTGCAGCTTGCACACCGAGSTACCAACACATGATGCATTCCTGAACAGTCCCCCCGTTGTTTAATTGGGCATGCCTACCAAAAATGTATTTAGAGGAAAAAGAAAAAAACTTTAGAGGCATTTAACCACTGCCCTCACATACAGCATTACAAGTAACAAATGTAACAGAATTAAGGCTAAAAGATTGYTGTAGGGCAGAACACAAGATTATAGACTCCTGCGTTGAAACACTTAAATGGTTATCAGTGTAAAATCACAAAGGATTCTCAGAAGCCAATAATAAACTGGTTGATAAATAGGAACAGCCTGCAGTGAAGGGATTTCGGTTGAAGCAGTTGAAGTCGCAGGTAGTGTGAGTGTGACTCCCAGAGTGACATCTGAGTGGTCAGACAGGAACATTTCCTCAACACAGGGAGCTCTGAAAACCTGAAGCATCAATCACTCCTCTGACTATCTCACTTCTGGTAACAAATCCCAGTAAACTGTGAGCCAACTTGAATTAGAGAGCATTAGTTTGAAATTTAGGAATGAACAACTACAAAAACACACTCCCCTTATTTTGGCCATTTTTCAACTAATTACATTTACACCTCTTACAAATATTGCTTACAAATACAGCTAAATAAGAGTATTTTTACAGAATGTGYCCAATTCCAACTACTGAAGCAGTGTTGTTAGTGTTAAGATCTATTACAAACTGAAACATTTGTTTGTTCAGGCAGGTAATAACAACACCCTTACCTCTGAGAAACCAAGTGAATTTGGAAGATGCTTTGTTTCATAAAGCTCCAGAAAATGAAGAATGCCTTCCTTCATCAATGTTTTATTCTCACTCTCAAACATTCTTTTATAAATGCACATATGCCAAGATGGGTGAAACAGCCAAGAACCTGTTAGAAAAGGAAATCTTTCTAAACTGACACAGAAATGACAATGACATTAGCTCACTAGCATCTAATATACTGACATTCCAGACAACATTATAATCTTTTCACAGGACATTTCAAAAAGGTGACTAYAGCTATTAGTTTTATAAAAAAACCCAGCTAAATCTAATTTAAAAATTAACAGATTTCCAAAGTTACTCTCTATTAGTTACAAATTAAAAAGACYATAAAGTGCAAATGCCACATCCTTCTTTCCACAACTCTATTTATACCAATGYATTTACCTGCAAAATTTTCACATTAATAGTCTTCACTTTGCAAATCTCTAACATTTTGCACTACCTGATTACATGTGCTCATGTGCCCTAGACACACTGCCTCAGCAGTACCATCATTTTATTGATTCTCTCCCTGCTTCTAACAAGTTGGATTGGGAGGCTTTTTTCCCCCTTTACAAAGTTGTGCAGGTGACTTGGTTTCTACAACCCCAAAAATCACGGGTTTTGTTTTATTTTCACATTATCATAATTAAAGCAAAACACAGTGGAAAATGGCCATTTACTTTGATTTGCTGACAGAAAAATAGTATTTCAAGACAATATAGTAAGCAATAAATATATGCTAGGATTTATTCTCAGAACAGAGTAGCCACTGTCTAGGCATGTTTGCCAAACAACCTATGCATAGAGCAGATCCACAAAAACAGAAACAGCTACCCAAAAACACCTAATTTGAGAAACAAAATATTACAAAAAGCTGCTACTAAAACAGAAGAAGAAAACCTRAAAGTGTAACTTAACTMACTAATACTGAAGAGATTAAAGACRAAAAGTTCCATCTTACCTTTATCTCCTGATATGGCAAGCTCATATAAGCTGTTCAGTTTTGGTAATACTGGCTTTATGACATGGATCTGAAAAACAAATCAGATGTAATGTAAATCATTTATATCTCAAACGTAGGAGCTGTCAGTTACTCATGGGCTAGAATTTGCTATCAATAGCATTAATACAGTAATTGACAGCAGAAATATTTAAACAAACTTGCAATGCCTGTGGTATGCAACACAATGAAGTTTAGCACTCAAGAAAAACKGATGCTTCAATGCGACCATATTTTAAKAACAAGACTTACTAATAGCCATTCKGTTCCTCAAAATAWAAACAGCAGATATACCTAGCATTAAACATTTAWGTAAATATTTCACTTAAATAATAATGTACAAACAACATAACTACAAAGAGGTGGGCACGCAACTAATAGCTAACTAAGTAAGTCAACACCACAATACCACAGAATTATGGAAGCCTCAAGTCAACAGGAATCTTTCTGCCWAGTGCACTGGACTCACAAAACCATTTTAATCCAAGGCCACAGGTGCTTTACTATACAGATGTAGTACCCTCTACCAAACAGAGGTTATTAGGTGCAAACACCTGATTTTTCACTAAGATGGTTACCCTGGTCTTGCAATTAGCTGAATTCCAGGTTTTTRTCATTGCATTAACCAGGTGTATTCCGAAGACATGGTAGAGTTCTGAACTTATCCCCAATGAATGACATGTGTTGTGCTTTAAGTACTTCAGAGTTGAAAACAAAATATTCCAGTTAATGCTGACTTAAGATACCCTCAATCACCAAAACTGGAAATACTCTGCCCTACAAAAACATTCAGATATGCCACAAGCGAGGCACACATCTGTCTAGGATGGGCACATATTTACGGTGCTCCTACCTGGTTTCCCTCCAAAGTTTCCATTATCAAAATGTAAGTTTCCCAAAACTGTAGGAGTTGCTCATTCTTGTCCGCAGACCACCAAAACAGACTCGATTCTAGGAAGAAAGAAAATAACACGCGTTTCTCGCGGCCCCGCACCCCCGGGCAGCGCTGTCCCCCCGCCACCCGTCCGGCCRTACCGTGTCCGCCGTCCGGGGGGCAGCGAAGCTCAGGGCGCTGGCAGCCGCTCAGGTCCAGCGCTCGCTTYAGCAGATAGCGGGCCCGCTTGCGGCACAGCCCGTCCCGCTCCGTCAGGCCCTCCTGCACCAGCCGCCAGAACCCCGGGCACAGCCGCGCGTCCAGCCCCGATCCCGACCCGGCCGGGCCCCGCGGCAGCAGCTCGTCCGCCAGGGCGCTCAGGGCCAGCAGCGCCCGCCCGGCCCGCGGCGCCCCGCCCGCGCCCAGCAGCCCCTCCCACACGCGTGGCAGCGCCGCGCCGTTCGCGCCCAGAGCCGGCAG